AGCAGAAGACAGAAGAAAATGGAGACGTGCAGTTGAAGCCCTATGTTCCACTAGGAACCCAAGGGAGCAATAATAATAAAATAATAATAATCCTCCGAACTGACAGAAGTGCTGTTCACATGGTCAATATGTGCCTGATATAAAAATCTGAGAAATTTTGGAATCGCTCAGTAGTGAAATGGCTGGAGACAATTTTAGTTAACAATACTCGCACAAAACAGTCAAAAAGCAACCAACCAACTTGATGAATGAGGCCAAAATACTGCAGCTAATGGTGTGTGTATATTTCATAAGTACTATGGTTACTTAGTAAAACTGGAATCCCAGTGAAACGCATGGCAGGACACTCATCACCCAGTACTGCCCAGTATGAGAGGGGTATAACCGATTTTTGGTGACTTCACTCAGCCCTTCTCCATTATTTAATTGCTAGCCGTCCACTAAGTGATGGTGGTGTTTGGAGGAAGTCATCTGCAGGTCTACATACACAAAAAGCGATCATTTAAAACGCGTAAGCTGCTATTGGCTGCCTCAGAGATTTGCATTCATGGGCCATAGTTTCATTTCAGTCTTCCGTTTACAGGCAGTCCTAATTCAGTCTCACTGACGTTTACATTAAACAGTTAATTACTACACTTTGAATAATACTTAGAAATTTGAATTCTGCAACGACTGCAGTGGCCTGAATAATTTGCGCACTATTCATGAAGCTTTTTATTCGTAGACATACGATTGGCAAACAATGAACGAAACCCGACCTAAGTTGCTTGACTTTTTATAGCTGGTGCAATACATCTTTTTTAAGAAGAATTCAGGGTTTTCCAATCTTGTTTACTAAAAGTGAAATTTCTTAGAAGAGAGTTAACTAGATAATTGCAGAAATATTTCCCTGGGCATTTGCTTTAATACGAATACAGGAGATGAAGGGAGGTATATTTCTGTCAATGAGGTGTTATAATACTAGGTGAAATGAGGTATATACACATACTAAACGGTTACCCCCCATTGTTAACACAGAAAGTATTAGTTCAGTAAATACGAACTGATGAATTAAGCAAATAACGGGAGTAGTGTTCAGCCCGATTCTTATCTCTTCTAAAAACTCATCACTTATGATTGCTTTTACTGCATATATATTGATTACTGATCTCATTTGATACAGTTATCTTTTTTAGGGTAAAATTTTGTTCTTCCCCTATCCCTATTTATCTTCTTTTTGAGTAGTTTTCATATGGATTAGAATGTTTGTTTGTTTTTCTTTGGTTTTTATAGATTTGCCCCGTTCACCTACTTTGCATAAATTGATGTAAAGATAAGAAATAAGATATAAGAAATAAATAAGAAATAAAGATAATAAGATTCAAACAGTTTATGATGTATTAAAAATTGTTTACACTTGAAAAAGTCGAACTAATTCGTGAGATATAATAATTTTATGAAGCACAACTATATGCTATATATGTCCAAACAAAGTTCACTTTTAACAGTTCGAAAACATTTGAGCATTGGGTATATGATATTCATTATAATAAAGCTTTTTTTGTATTTCCCAATGAATGGAAAACAAAACGATACTGCCTTTTACTGACGTTTCGCTATTTAATGCTGCTAATAGCTTTGTCAAAGTATTATTAAACCAGAATTTACAAAATCTCAGCTTATATACACAGTTCATTCTTGCAGAAACTAAACAATCTATCTTCGAGAATCCGGTTTACTTCGGAACCATTTCTAGACTGCCTAGTTTAGAGGAGGGGAAACGGACATTTTATTATATCAATATTCAGGGAGAAAACCCACTCCAATAAATATTTAGACTTAGGATCATCACACGCCATCAGCGCAAAATAATCAGTTGTTTCAAATCTTCTTCTTTGATAATGGATGAGAAAGAAAAAGAAGAAGAAATATCAAACATTACTGAGATTCTCAAGCAAAACAACTACCCAAAGAACTTCATCAAGAAAATCAACGTTGACATTAAGTATGATTGAAAACGTATTCCGAAAATATGGGCCTCAACAATTATCGTTCCACATAGAGCAGAGACGTCAGACAATTTCAGAAGGGTACTCGATGAGCTCGACATAATTTTCTTTAAAACATCAGACACACTGCTAATCAAACTTCTCAATATAATAGACCAAATCCAAAAGATTCGCTATCTAATTGTGTCTACGAAATGATATGCTTGAAATGTGATGCAATATACATCGGACAAACATCGCGAGAAATCAAAATTACAAGAGATGGACATTGTGGAGCATCTAATCGACCATTAAGAAATCCAGTTGAACTAGAAAAGCCTGTAAAATCATCAGCCATAGGAGGTCTACACGCTATAAAATCAGGTCACAAAATTGATTTTAACATTATTGAAATATTCCACAAAAATTGCAGAAATCATAAAGGACGCCTAATATCAGAAGCACCTCATATCAAATTGAATCCAAATTTTCTGAATAGGAATGATGGACTGAAACAGAATTTGACCTGGTTATAAAGTCCCCCTCCCCCATGAAATGACCAAATCAACACGAATGTGATAAGCAGTTTCATTATGTAAACACATGCTGTTTTTATAATTTTATACACTCATCAAATCTAACAAACTACACCTGGTTTTGTTATCTTTACCAGTTGGCCAACATGACAGCGCAAAAATGCTCCCATGCTGATGGACGATGATTAGGTTGTTATATATATGCTGAGATTTTGTAAATTCTGGTTTAATAATACCTTGACAAAGCTATCAGCAGCACTAGATAGTGAAACGTCAGTAAAAACAATATCGTTTTGTTTTTCATACATTTACATAAAGGAAGTTAAGGCACTCATGCATAACTCAACCCCACCTCTTACAGTTTCTCAACTGTTGCATCATATGTAATCTTCACCATTATTCTTTCCTGGATTGCTTAAAAAGACTACGTCATACTTCGTAGGACTCTGAAGACTGTCAATAGGGCCATTGGTATTCCATTGGGTGATATCATTGACATCGTCACTGATAGGCATTTGATTTCATGCAAAAAATTTGCTAAAGGAATTTCATCAAGCTGTGAACATCCACTTTACCAGCAGCTTTCACCTTGCGTCTCTTCAGGTAAAACAAGAAGTCATTTCTAAAAATTTCACTATACCATATTCGGCACGTATTTTATGTTATCAAAATAATGTCAGGGACGAACTAACCAACTTCCTTTGCACTTGTAAATAAACCATTTTCTCCATACTTATTCGACCAAGCTTTATTGTTATTGTCCTTTTTATATTTATAGTGCTCTCATTTCGTTTGTTTACCTTTTCATAAGTGTAAACATCCTTCAAGCTCCTTGATGATTTAAGTGTTGGTTTGTAGGGATCTCAGTGGCTTAATGGTATACGAGCTCACCTTGTAACCGGAAGGTCCTGGGTTCGAATCCCGGCGGGTGCGTACTGCTGAAGAGTCCCAAACTAGGACGAAACAGCTGTCCAGTACTCCCAGGTTTTCCAATGGTTCTCTAACTAATGTCAGCTCATGATGAAATCCTGAAACTCCTTAATGATTGTTATTTTCTGTTTTTCTCGTCACTGTGCTATGCCATGAGATTCGATACTCCATAACACGCCGAAATGTTCATTCTTTATCAACAATACTGTTTAAAATAAATCCACTGTTATTATTAGCATTATTACTATAGTTATCACTCTCATTTTATACTTTGTAGATTTTTGTCGTCATTCCTACTGTGAATATGGACAGGTTCCTGTGGTTAGTTTTATCTATATTTTAAGTAAATCAGATGCAATATTGTGGCAAAAGCTGAGAATTTCATTCTGAATTATAAGTACTGTTTTCTGAATAAAGCATTATGATTTTTATTAAAAACTAAATTGACTCCACAACGCTGTTTATTTTAGCGTCAGCAAACAGGTAAAATTCAGAATTCTCCATGATGTTTAGGTTCAAAACTAAGTAGGTTATCTACTTTCTATCTAAATATCTACTTTCACCACTCGAAGGCCTGTTTCACTGATTCCCAAATGAAGGTCTGTAGTAGTATAAAACAAGTTAGGCGAAAGTCACACTTGTCATTAATATAAAGGAAATCGTTATTTAGTCGAAGATTATGAATTTATCTGAAAACTGGGTCCCTTTTCCCCGCATGATTTTCGGAGTTATCTGAATGTTCCCTCACAGAACAATTCCAATTGATAAAAGCACACAGTGATACTGTTGTATATACTGATGACGTAATTAGGATGATTTACTCCCCTTAATCATGGTAGACATATGATGGAATTACACCATCACAGTCGCCCAATTCTACTCTTATATTAACAGAAAGTCATAAATAAGTCTTCCTGGTTGAGTATCTCTTATCCAACTCTAGTAGTGGACACTTTTAAAGAAAACCAAAACCTTCAGGTTTTGTCTGGTTTATATATTTATTATTTGTTTTATTCCTTCACGTACCCAGTGGAATATAGGGCTTCAAGCTGGAGCTTCGAAGTTTCGGTAGCAGTGGTATTTATTTTTACGGGATGGGATCTCTAGCCCCATGCCCAATTTTCCTTCTTTACCAGTCTTATTACTGGCTTAGCGAGTGCATCGGCTGGGAATCGAACCCGGAACCACATGTGTGGTCGGCGAGCATTCCACCACTGTGCTATCCGGTCTAATGAACCATACTGTGTTCGACACAGTCTCTGAAGATCACGAAGATCGTGTGTGTGTGTGCATAACAACGTGGTGTCCTAGAATACCACCAAAGAAACTAGTCCCACTGTTGTACTTACATAATTCTGATTGATTATGGAGTGCCTCCTAAGCTCACTTACTACATACACATTGCTAGAAAGTGAGCATCATATTCACTCATTCACAACAAACCGCTTCACAAGACAGTCTAAGTGAATGTTATGAAGCAAACTAGTAGAATAGTTAACATTATTTGAAGATCTTTCCAAGCAGTAGAGTGGAAATATGAAATTTCTTCATCTGAAAAATTTATTTTATCTGAATAAATGGAAGAGGTAAAATATTTTCTGGTAAGACACTATTATTATAAATATACATTATAATAATTAACAAATATCACAACAAGGCATAAATAAATATTGCGTCAGAATAGAAACAAAAAATTGGGGAAGAGATAAGTCAATTTTCAGCAGCTCACAAGATTATTTAAAGGTTCAACTGAATGGAATAGCATATCAAATTAAATTTTAAAGTTAAAATGACAGCCTGGAGATAAACAAATCACTTCTTCCTTTATTTCAATGAAAAAACAACAAAACAAATGAAAGCAAGCGGAACAAATGAACAATGAGACATAATTATTTGGGGAAAGTAAGCAGACAAGAATGTTATTTTAATAGACAGTCAATTTGGAGACTATCTAATCTAGTAGAAGGCATATATTTAAGTAGTCAATTATTTCGTGATTTTCTCCCACCCACCCCTGCACTCTTCTTTTGACTACTGACAATCATTTTTAATTAGAAACAACTAACGATACAAAAAAAGTAAGTAAAGTGACTTGAAAACACAAAAACGCAATAAGAATGTATTATTAAGCAACGATAGAATGTGAAGCTTGCTTCATAACTTAAAATTCAAAGAAAAGAACTATGAAATATTAAAAATATGTTTAACAGAGGTGAATAACAATCGTATTTAGGAGAGAACAAATGACTAAAATAGATAACAGACACAACAACAACAACAACAAAGGCATTAGTAACAAATCACTATGATATTTTTTTATGTATAAAAGTTGTAGATTTACGCAAGTGAATTCAGAGATTACAAATACTATTTTTTCAGTAGGTTCATGTGAGACAATTATCTAAAATATATATATATATATATACTTTATCATCTAGTCTTTTAAACTGGAACTCTGTTTACTTCATGAAAGAACACTAGTTTACTATAGTAAAGTGTGTTATACACTTGAAATTATATTTGAATTAATATTACTAATTTTAACAGCATGATTTACACCTCTTCTGAATTTGTCACTGTCCACATAATAATCATTATCAACTTTACCGTCTTGTTTGTCATCAACAACGTTGACTTTATTGCACCTTGAACTGCAGTGATAAGCGGTTATGCAGACATTTTCATTGAAATGATTGAAATTATTGCTGGTGTAAAAATCAAAACTCGCTGGTGTATCACTAAAAGCATTGTCACCGTTACTACAGTCAATGGCTTTACGTTTACGACAAGTGTTCGTTTTAGTGATGAATGAATCATCATCGACATTACATTGTTCTGCTTTAGTATTTACTGACAGGTCACTTTTATTACTGACACATTCTTTATGACTAGAGTTATTTTGCGAATAGGCAGTAGGGGAATGTAACTGATCTTTCATTTCTTCTTCTTCTTCTTCAACGGATTGTTTATTAGTATCCTCAGAAGATATACTCTTATAGCAAAACCTCATTTGCTGATTTGGTGCCTTCAAAGACCTTTCATTTTTTCGACGCTGAAAAATGCATAAAAGCAAAAATGACGTAATAAATAACGAAATCGAGCTACAAAAAACACACAAGCTCATGTTCGCAGTCACTTGTTGTCTGAATGATGCACAGTGCATAGGGTAGAGTAGGTCAAGAATAATGAAATTATTAACTACGACTGTGTAAATAATAACGGTTATTTTCAGCCATTAGTTAATTATTGTTACACCGAATAAACAGATAGTTTTTTTCTAAGTTAATGAATAATATAAAGCGAATCTTACCCATCTCAATCATTCAACCACTTGATACTAGGAGATAAGCAGTAACTGACAAAGCTCCTAGGTCTTTTGATTGATGAAGATGCGTTCAAGTATAGTATTTGTTATTGAAGATGGTGAGTACTGATGTGAACAGCTCAATAGTGGGTTTTCTTTTCAGCATCACTGAGGGACTAGTGCTTAGTTTGCAGGGGAAAGGGTGACTGCACAAATTCGTAAATACGCCTTGCTGATAAGACAAAAACACACAGCCTAAACCTATGGATCTTTACAAGCTAATATGACATTCATACTTGAATGACTTACAACGTACAGTGGTTTCACACTACCTGCCTTAGAGACGATATTATATATCTAATCAGTAGATTTTCTCAACTCACTCAAGACAATTACGTTAAGTAGCATCCGGTGACACAGTCATTCACTAGAAATGATTTTCTACCTTTATTTTCAATAGAACTCACACACTTGGTAAGTGTGAATTACAATTTTCTCTCCGGATGCTTTGAAATGTGTGCAATTCAAGTCTAATCCAGAGGATAAATGGCATCGTACGATTGCCATACGATCTAACTTAATCAAATATTTGTCCCAAAAGGAACACTATAGCTCACTGGGAATGTAGATACATCCGGTTTATGAGTCCTGAATAGGATGAAATGTGTTTCTTAGATTCGAATGCTAGCCATGGCTAATTAAATATTATCGGTTTTAAACTATCACTGTTACCTAATATGATAGCGTATGATGGTAACATATCAACACTGAACATACGTTAGCACATTACAACAAATAATCTTATCCGTCAAAGATTTCGCCTTATGGGATTGCATAAACATTATTTCACATTAAAGTTTAGACATTAAAACAACACGGGTGTTAACTTAATGCGCTGTTATTGCGTTTTTCTCCTTCAACTAATATCAGTAGATAACCTTATGTAATTTCTCAATAAAAATAAGCTAGAGGATAGAAATAACGATCATTTTACTTCCTTGGGATTTAAACTTTAAATATCCGAAAATGAGGAGGTTTGTTTGTTCATTTTTTTTGATTGCAGATTGGTTCCACACAATACCTTGTCTTTAGTAGAAGTAAGGAATTTTCAGCGTGTGATATCAGTAGCCCAAATTTTGCAGGCCGACCGTTGATACCGGGTGTGCGTCGGCAGGAGATCGAATCCGGGACCATATTCATGGTCAGAGAGAGTCCTAACCACTGTGCCACCGACGCACAGTTAAGTAGATTATACTAATCCATAAAAAGGCTGACTGTTGAATGTTTAATCTGAATGGGAGGTTTCTTATGACACTGTGGCACATTTTACTGCGAATAATTTGTATCAGTTCTCGCACCACCCATCAAATAAAACTGACTGATGGAATGAATTACTGTCCCAACTGAGAAGGTAACTTAAACAGATCGAAAGTTATTCCATTTCAGCCTGAAAAACTGACAAGTGATTGAACATATCTCTCTTATAATCTTTATTACATGAAAAGACAAAAAATGATGCTGACCAAAATCTCAATCATACTTAAGAAACTATATATTTTTATGTTCTAGGATAGGTCGTATTTGTGACACTGTGTTCTTGAGGAATATAGTTTCGGTGTTTGTTTGCAGGTTTTCATCATTGACTGACATCGTTTAGAGACCCGGTGGAAAACCTGGAAGTACTGGACGTCTCTTTCATCCTAGTTCAAAACTCTCCACCAGTACACACCGGAGTGTGAAACCGGGACCTCCGGTTACAAGGCAAGCTCGCAGACCTCTGAGACCTGATCCAATGGTCCATGAATTGCTACTTTTCTAATTCATCATACAGCACAACCGACACTGGCCACTGTCATCGCTGACAAGTAATTTGCCTCACACCCAACCTCTTATCACGACTGGCAACGATAACTGCCTGAGTTATTAGGTAACTAGTAAGCATCGGATTGACATTCAGGTGTTGATTTGCAGGAATCGCAATGCTTACAGGATTTCATTATCAGCTGACCCCGGTGGCTGTGTACAAATACTCGCCGATGACATTCGCTAGTGGCAGTGCCATATCATGAATTGGCAGAAGTTGGTGGTCTACGAGCTTGCCTTGTAAGCAGTAAGTCCTTGGTTCTTTACTGGGTTTGAAACTCAGTAGGCGCGTACTGCTAAAAAGATTCGAACTAGGACGAAACAGGTGTCCAATACCCTCAAGTTTTCTAGTGGTTCTCTAGCCGATGTCATTTCACGATGAAATATAATTTCACTGTGTGCTTCTCTGTGAACTATTTCTCAAACGTACCGAATTGTATCTTAGACAACTAGGTATTCAAGACATCGTCTCCACTTTTCAATTATTTGTTAGCAGATCACTGTATCTCAGTAGAACTTATTCGTTGTTCATCAACAGGAAGACTAAGCAGTAATTCAGCCTACATTTTGCATACTTGTAAAATGAAGAAAGCATTTTCCAATAGTTAAAAACAATCATAATTATTTGGCTAATTGTAAGTAGTCAAACTTATATCGACCCTTTCGAAACAACTGAACACCTATTTCGTCATTCTGCAACAAGATACGGTTTTGGCGTATGAAAACTGTTAAAGCACAAGACTAATTTAAAAAGTGTCGGCAATGAAATATCTTTTATTCTATTAAATCTTAAAAAAGTAAACTAATTCATACATACATAAACTTGAAATAATTGCCACCTACATGCACAGCATCACGCCATTGTTGCACTGCAGCAGTTGATAACTCAATTCTTTTCTTCTTCTCACCTTTACGTTTAACACATAGGACTTCAACAAAGGTCAAAACAACGCCTGCCACCAGACCCATACCAATCATAATGAACACACCAGCCATATTAGTTAAGCCAAGTGTTGCAGGACTTGACTCAGTTCTTTCACAGTTATTCGATTTTAAATGAATCCATGCTGTATCTAGCGTCTCCATTATACCTCCTGTTGTTCATATATTAAATGGAAATAAAATACAATAAAAAGTGTGTTCGGCTCAGAACACCAATATAAAGCGTAGAAGATACCAGCTGATAAATCTTGCTTAAATCTTGTGGTGTCTTCATACTGACAGGGAAATTCTTGTATTTGACAATTTAAAGACTGAATTCTAAAGTAAGTGTACACATTATAAGCTCACAGATGACAAGTGATCAGACAAATAGCAAGGTGGGAAAGTGGTTCAATTCAGTGTCATATGAAACTGAATCGCTGATAAACTGTGTAAAGACAAAACTGCAGATTCAAGACAAAATGGAAATGTTTGATTTGAATGCTGACTATATCAAAGTGTACTCTAGAAATCTATATAGATCATAACAACCTAAGAGAGGACTCAATTGATGCCTAATGTTATTTGTAACAGACAAAATCCTAAGAAACAAAATGACTAGATACGTTGGAGAATATAATTAATTCAATTTTTGAATAAAGCATAAACAACGGTTGATGTCGTCTTATTTCGTCGGCTTCTCGTCAAGCACATAAAACCAAGAAAAGCTTTTTTTTAAATTATGTACATGTACAGAGGACTTTTCACCTTATTAACAGAAATAACGTGCTGTCGACTAACATAAGACTTCAGAACTAATAAAATGTGCTCAGAAGTTATCATATCAGTATGTCTGATATTCAGAAGGTTCAGGTTATTTCTTTTTTATAAGTTTGGAATCATTGAGAAAGGAGTGGCGTAATCAAGACGAAAAGAAATGAATAAGCTGGTGGTAATTAACTGATGATTCCTACAAATGAAAAGCAAATAATAATAAACTAACAGAGAACAGGTCAAAGTAGAACACTATGTCATCAAATAGAAAGAAAAGCTAAAAAATCAAGTTAACAGAGCAAAGAAAGACTGATAAATGCTTCATTTCTTACTGATGATGTGATACAAACGTTTTTGTCCTCATAAACAATCGACTATTCTTAATTCATTTTTATTTTCGGGTCGATAGATTGGACCGAAGTGTCCGGCCTCTGTTCACTTGTTGGCTCCTAGCACGGACGTTTCGACAATGTCTGATGATTAACTTGAAGTAATTTGGTGGATAAGGATTATCAGTGGAATCAAGGATCCTTATTTCGTCCTACTTGGGACTCGTCAGCTGGATTTACCTAAATTTTCAGCGACTGATGGTGTTAACAATGAAACTCGATCCCAGTATCCAAAGTTTTAGGTACCATAGTTACTGGGTTCTAGTCTCAATGATAACACCATCGATCAATGGAAATGCTGATAAATCCAGCTGGTAAGTCCCAAGTAAGACGAAATGCACATCTTTGGTTCCACACTGCTAGTCATCATCTACTAAATTACTTCAGTCCAAAATATCTCTCGAGTTTAGAGTTATTGTTTTTATTAATTTGTATTGGCCTAATTTTTCATTTTGCACTTAAAGATGACACAAAATAAGATAGTTTGTTGACTGAGACCACAAAAACACTTCATTCTTTGGTAGGATTTTTCAACAACGTTTTCTTATTTCAACTGCAGATTACTAGATACATTCAACATTTAATCAAGGTAAAAATTACTGACGAGATTGCAAATAACCTTATCTTAGCAGGGAAAAAAGATTAAATGGAAACTAGTTTCACTCATGTGCTACAGAAGAGGACACTGATGAACGCGTACAATCATTTCAATATATGAGAAATTAACTAGGGTTTTCAGTGTATTGGTGAGAAGGGAATCTGTTCAATGGTAGAAAAGGTACGTGATTTTTGTGAAACCTAGGCGTTCTACTGAGTTTTAATCCATATATAGGTTCATATATCCGTTAAGTTTGAAATACGGTTAAACAGATATGTACTGATTTCACTCCTTTGTCAGATAAACTCTTATTTAATCAGTTCGAGTTCCCAAAGGTAGGGTATGAACAGAAAAGTTGGATTTTGTCATTCAAATAACACAGGTTTAAATTATACATATATATATATATATATAATTAAAACCGAATGAAATTCAGAATATTCAGTCAACACTGTTGAAATAAAAATTGTTCACAGGAACGACTGCTCCACACCGACTTCACACTTGCAAGCACCAAAAGGGTAGGTAGCATTCAATAGGTTCACGTACTGTCTGCGAGATGAGGACTTGTATTGTGATGAGAGCTGTGTGCAAGTCAAAACTATAGATAACAACTTACTTCACTGCTCACGTCTTGAATCGGGGTCATGAGAAAAACAATAACAAAGCTTATTCTTTAGGAACTCAAAAACCAGTTACAGCAGACTTAAAGTGTGCAAATACGATTCGCAGATATATGGCTTAACTTTGTAAGCATCGGTCATAAGCAGTACGGAATAAACTTCAGCAAGAAAAAAACAGCTTTCAGTAACGTCAATAATAATGTACAAAAAATCTATGAGCACATCCTAATTTTCTCAATAAACGATCTGTTGCCTGACCCATGTCTTCTGTCGTTGCAGTATTTTTGGAGTCACACCACTGAGCTATTTATGCCATACCCAACTACATGTTGTACACAAATTAGTGGCTAGCGATAATGCACATCGATACTTATTATATGAGATTTTAATATGTTTAGTGGGGTAACTAATATGAGATGATCCTCCCACTATAACCCAGCCCTTTTTATTGCCTTTTGACTTGGTGTGGCATTGGAAATGATCGAAATACCATGTAAGGTGTTTGCATACTTAGAACGGAGGACGGTTTTCACAGGTATACACTTTTATATTATCATAATGGCTTGTAATATAGCAACTGCCACAGTTTTAACGGTGTAAACAAACTGAAGGATAAAACCATCATGTAATAAATGTTTATTTTAAATATGTCCTAGTGTTTTATTGACATTAGTCTGTTATACAACTATGTGCACAACAAGCATGCGTACGTAGATATAGTTAGAGTACGGAGAAATAAAAACACCTTTTTCTCCTTACTATGTATCTACTTTTCCTTATTCTAGATACAAGATTCACATTCATTGTTTAATGTAAATTTCAACGATAAAATAAAATGACAAAAACAATATGCTGTAGGAAATATATATGAGGAGGTGGTACACAACCACAGTGGAATGCATGCGTTAAGAACTAGAAGGAAAGAGAAATATTTCGAAGCAGAAGAGACCTTATTATGAACTTACTATATACGCAAACATACACATATACAAAAGAAATGAAGGAAAGATATTTTTCAAGTTCTATCTTTCCCTGCCTCTTCACTAGATATCAGTGAATTGAAAATAGAACGATGTGAATGATATGTAGTTCTGAGTTTACATATTGTAACTGTACTATAAAAATAATAAGCCGTTCAGCTGTTTCACTGACAATTAATGTAGACTAATGGCTTTTTCGCCTTGTCTGTTTTTCAATTATAAGATGTATATGATATAAGGTTGGTCAAATGTTAGTATGTGACCAAAAGCATAGCCAAAAATGATGGTTTAACATTATTTTAAAAGATATCATAAAAACAACATTTAATCGTATAAGGGTCACTGTAGCCACTGTTGTATAAAACTAGATTGCTGAGAAATAACAAGTTGTTTTATTGCCCGATCGTCAGTGACCGAGTTCTACTAAAAATGATGATAACTGTGCTGCGTATTTTTCGATGAATTTCTGGTGATGCGGCGAAATTTGCAGGAATTCATTTATCTAAGTTTTGTCATCTTTTTTTACCACTTACAAGAGAACTGTAACTGGATACCTAGAGAATTTATACCACCTGAAGGATTTTAACTTGTATCAAGCAACTTAAATTGTGATTTGTGTTCTGAATGACTAAGTTTGCTACACTTATAAGTGCTTGAAGATTAACCAGAGGTATACTGTCGAATTTGTTGATAGAAAAGCTCAAAATCCTAGAACTAGTGGTGAACACTCTGTGTAAATAAATAAAATTATTCCCGAACACATAATTGTAGTTAAAAAGTAATTTACATTCTGAAGCATACAAATGAGTTTTCAAGAGTTGGTTTGTAAGGATGAGATTTGTTTTTACAAGTTTGACCATAGATTGATATCAATTAGAGAACTATTGAAAACCAGAGAATACTGGACAGCTGTCACATCCTAGTTTTGGAATCATTGACAGTCAAGGACCCACTGGAGTTCGAACCCAGGACCTTCCGGTGACAAGTTAGGCTTGTATACCATTCAGCCAGTGGAGCCGATTTAACGGCCAGTGCATGAATTCTAACTTTTACCAATTCGTCATTTATCACGATCACTAACCGACGAGAAGTCGTAACCAGTAAGGTCCAACCAGTCAAGTGTGAGGATGGATGTCCCACCGACGATATTGGTTGGTGGTCACGCTAAATCACGAATTGGTAAAAGTTATAATTCATGCACTGGCCGTTAAATCGGCTCCCACTGGCTGAATGGTATACTAGTTTTGGGCAAACTAGTAAAAAAATATGAATGAGTAATCACATTAGGAAATATGGTTGAGCCATGTACCCTATTCTTGATAACGTTCATCTCGTCGTTTTCATGATTCTTAATTCTATGAGTAGTTAGCGGATAATACTCCTACTTTAAGCAGATCTTTATCATTTATATATATATATATATATATATATATACGTACATCTATTTGCTTTTCAAGTGGAACATAGGGCTTCATATTTTGAGCTTTGAAGTTGCGATAGTAGTGATGCTTAATTAAATGAGTAGGGCGACTAGTCTCAAGCCTAACCGTCTCAAGATTTGTAAAGTGAGCGACGACTGGAAGTACATTGACCCAGACCTTCCACGTGTCTGGCGAATTGTTGCATTAAGAATTGAAAGAGAATAAACTGAGTTTTATAAGAAGTATTCAAAAATCATGTTAATCTTACACTTACCTACAATCTTTTGAACTTTTAATTTACAGTCAAGAAACAATAAAATATATGTTTTATTTTAACAAGTTTATTTTTGTATACTTTTACTTTACTTTTACTTTTTGATTACAGCTTGATCCACACGTATTTTTGTACAAGTATGGAATTTTCAGCGTGGATATCGGTAGCCCGAAATTCGCAGGCCACCAAAGATATCAGCTGTGCATCGGCGTGGGCTGGAACATCGGACCATGTGCATGGTCGGCGAGAGTCCTAACCACTGTGCCACGACGCACTATACTGCCTTTCAGAATGTCGTAATATTTGTTTGTTGCTTTGATCACTAAGTCAAGTTATTTTTCCCTCCAAGCATATTAAATACAATTCGTCGTTTGAGGAGAACTACAAGAAAGTAAGACTTTCCTCCACTGCTCGAATCATTAGTGAAAAATACCGTTTAGTTGTGTTGGTGTCGTTTTGCATCAAAGTTTGCATACTTTTTCACTTGAATTTTTAGAAGATTTTATTCTCGATAGTGTGATGGTGAAAATCTTTTACCTAAAAGTTTTCATCCTTATGATGAATAATCGACTGTGTGATTCACAGTTGGTTCATATCAAATAGTTTCGGTATATCCATTGCAGGAAGTCTTACAGTAGGTTTATTGTTAGTTGAAATACTCCAGAGTTCAAATATCAGAGGGAAAATAAGCTACCTCAGACACATGATCTGGTGACAAATGCCAACAAAGATGTGACCTACATCCAGAACTTTCTGAAGATCACTGCCGACCATCTAGCATCCATCACCTACCTACACATTTATGAAATTCTTTTGTAAAGCATTGATATCACTGAACCACCAAATCACTTGATACTAGATATAAGCATCTGTATGAGCATTCTTCTAGTCTATTAAGTGTCTATATTTTCAAAACAAGATTTTGAGCGAACAATTGTTTTCGATAACTTCTTCTTCAGGCTCTACAGTTATAAATCCATGAAATTTTTTTTATTCCTTCACGTTCCCAGTGGAACATAGGGCTCCAAGCTAGACGCTTGAAGTTTATGTAGCAGTGTTTATTGTTTTACAGGATGGGGTTGCTAGCCTCATGCCCGACCTTCCCTCTTTGCCAGTTCTATTACTAACTTAGTGAGGTAAAGCAGTGCGTCGGCCGGGGATCAAACCCCGGACCATGTGCATGGCTGGCTAGCGTCCTAACCGCTGTGCCACCAACGCATTTAAATCCATGAATAATAGAGTACATATAGCCAATAGAGACAAATAAAAATAGTATCAGAAACTGTATTGGTGTGCATGTGTAAGTTGAGATGATAGTCCATTAGTTAATATAGTCAATTAAATGTGTATAGGGTCTATAGTCAGAAAAAATGTGATGAAGTGTGAATGAACAATTGGGTGCTGTTTTATAGTCAACAGAATACAAATGTCATTGGGGTGAGAGAAATGCGATAACCACAAAATACATGCACATATTAACAAGAGGGAGACTGAATGTGAGGGCTGACCGATAATGTCTAATGATAAATAAATTGTAAATTGTAATAAAATACTACAGAATTGGTAGGATTAGTATAAAATCACAAAGGCTGACAAAAATTAAGGGTAACGATGGGGTGAAATAAACTGGGTGGAGAAATGGATAATAAAGACATGAAATCACAAAGTAATAATAATGATAAGCATCTGCACAAGAAGCCGACATGTCAACCTGAGGCCGAGCACTTCGGTCCAATCAATCGACGGGAAAATCAAAATTCAATTCAATAATTAATATGACCCGTTGAACAAGAGGTGGCTCTCGTGGCCCAAGTGGTCTAGTGGATAACGCTTTGGCGTTTGAAACTATGGGCACTGGGTTCGAGCCTCGGTGGGAACATCATCACTCACTGAGAAATGCAGGTACATCCAGCTGACGAGTCCCAATTAGGACGAAATGCGCATCCTGGACTCCACTGCTAGCCACCATCCACCAATTGTATACAAGTAATGATAATAATAGTACGAAAAATTATGATCCTGGTGACCTTATAGTGTGCCAGGGTAGACAAAGAGAGTGAATAAGTTTTTTCTGTACACATAGGTCTGATCTCTCTCTATTAATCTCTAAAGCCTCACCTATGGCTAGGAGGCGTAATCGTGTGCCTTTGGGGAGACTGTTCGGTACTCGATACACAACTGTAAATAACTCATCTACTTTGATGCTGTGTTCCTGTGTTATTCTCCATTTCTCCACCCAGTTTATTTCACCCCATCGTTACCCTTAATTTTTGTCAGCCTTTGTGATTTTATACTAATCCTACCAATTCTGTAGTATTTTATTACAATTTACAATTTATTTATCATTAGACATTATCGGTCAGCCCTCACATTCAGTCTCCCTCTTGTTAATATGTGCATGTATTTTGTGGTTATCGCATTTCTCTCACCCCAATGACATTTGTATTCTGTTGACTATAAAACAGCACCCAATTGTTCATTCACACTTCATCACATTTTTTCTGACTATAGACCCTATACACATTTAATTGACTATATTAACTAATGGACTATCATCTCAACTTACACATGCACACCAATACAGTTTCTGATACTATTTTTATTTGTCTCTATTGGCTATATGTACTCTATTATTCATGGATTTATAACTGTAGAGCCTGAAGAAGAAGTTTTCGAAAACAATTGTTCGCTCAAAATCTTGTTTTGATTTCAATATGGGGATTTTTCATTTACTGAAATCTTGTGAGCATCCCGTTGCACTGAAGGCACTCAACGAGTATCTGAAGTATAGTGCAAAGCTCGCTAAAACGAAAATCAATGTGGTTTTTATATTTTGCTGAATAGATTTGAAAACACACAGCCCTATGGGATGAGGAAAGTGTGTATTTATTAAGTTAGTGAAAAAAAGGCGAAACACTTTTCACTAGTGATTCACAGTTCAGAAAGAGCCCAGTAACAATACAGTCTACCTTTGTTTGTTGAACTTCTACTTCCCACCATCGTCGAATAGATTATCTTATGCCAGCCTGTTCAGAAAATATACTTGTCTATCAGTTGAAACTTCATGTTTTTATCACATTATTATGAAAAACTAAAGGCTTTATTTTTCAACATCTGTGTGTGTGTGTGTGTGGCTTTTACAGGTAGGTTCTATTTTATCAAAATGTGAAAGCGTTAATATAATTTCTTCCACAAATCTTAGATACTATCTGCTGCATTATTAAAATACACTTCCGTGACTTCCGTTTTTTGTAAGAAAAAAATTATGAATGAGGCGTACATGAATATTTTCCTACGTAATTTTTTTAGGTGGATGGTGACTAGCAGTTGAACCCAACGCACTCGTTTCGTCCTACTTGGGACTCGTCATCTGAGTATACCATCACTCCCCAGTGAGTGATGGTATTCCCATCAAGGTTCAAACCAAGTACCCATCGTTTCAAACGCCAAAGCCTTATCGATTAGGCTATTCGCACAAAGTCAGCCACCTTTTTGTACATCAGGTATCAGTTGTTATCCATTATCCACCAATTTACTTCAAGTTAATTCACTGGAATCATCGAATCATCCGAACAAGAAGCCGACAATTCAACAGAGGCCGAACACTTCGGTCCAATTAATCAACGGGAAAGTCTAAAGTGAATGAGATTAAAGAAACCAACGAAGTGATTTTAAACAATTATAAGTTGAATTCTACAACACTGAATAGAAGATAGTGAAACTAGAGTGAATATGAATTCCTTTATATTCAGCTGTCTGTGATTCACTTAATCTAGCAACTGTAAAGTAAAGATGAAGCTTATAATTCTCAAGATTCTTATATACTCGTGTGACTGCTAACCTAAATAAGTAACACAGTGTGTGAAGTGAATTAGTTTCCAGTCAGACTGATAGTGAATTCGATGAAGACCGAGGTGCAAGGAAGATTGGTAAATCACTGGCCTTCACACTGAGTTTGCAAGACTGATGACTACATACGAATTCTTGCACTTATATGAAATTCGCAACTGATACAATTCTGAAAAACCAGAACAACCTGGTATACTTTACGCTGTGTCTTGTCAAATATTTGAAGACTTAATCTATGAACTAACGAAAAAAATCAAGATAACTTTTTTTATATATTAATTTTCTCCTTTACGTTCGCAGTAGAACATAGGGTTTCAATCTATGGTATTTATTTATACGGGATGGGGGTGCTAGCTTAGCTCGACCTTCCCTCTTTAACAGGCTTATTAGTAGATTATCAAGGAAAAGAAGTGAGCTGGCCGCGGATCGAACCCTGAACCTTGGTGGGTGTTGATGAGCATACTACTGACGCAAAAAATTAAGGTAAGTTGAGCTAGATTTCAGAATCTGTTTTGTTGCACTAAGCTCGGTAAGAATCATCTACGTCTTGATGATCGCAGTGCATATATTCTTTTGTTAATGCAAAGTGTAATTATCCACCTCTAAGGGAAACTAAATAACTTCGTGATTTTGAATGGGAATAGCATTTAAAAAAGACGAGGGAAGTGCAAAAATTAATTACTCTCTCTCTCACTCTAAATAATAATTTATTAGTAGATAAAAATAGCTTTCTGCTGACAGCCTAGGAGTCATAACAAAAATAAAAAATAAAATATACACTTACTTTCATGAAAATTTAAAACAGCTTGTGATAATTCATGCAGCCATGGATTACGTTTTTTCATGACTAAACCATAACTGTTTCGACCGAATACTTCACCTGTGGTGATCAATTCACAATCCAATGAAACTTCATACTGTAGTCTTGCTGACTCCCAAATAAATGCTTTCAGAGAACCAGATTTAATCGCCTTTAAAAAAAATAATCAATATAAACTACTATTCATTTGATAGTCTTCTGTATAAATAGGACGCTATAAGATAGGGCTTAATCCTGATCAGTGAAAATTAACTTATTTTTGCCATAAAAGCAATATTTTTTTGCGTTTAAATATGAAGGGAAAAGTTATTTTGAAGTTCAGAAGCCAACGTTTGTGGACTATCTCCAAGACAAATGCCTAACTGGATTTGCACAATTACAAATTTACACATAGTTTGCCACTGTGTGCCTCAAATCCTCATCGTCAACTTGCAGCACCACGTCTATGTGAGTACAAGAGTTGGTTACCCAGTAAAATAATCAATGTGGCTGTTGAATCCAAAGAAATCAAGTGTGCTATGAGGTGACCGGATGAAGAGATTTGCTAATTTAAGATATTGTGTTTCGTGTTAATTGATTGTAAACACTGTCATACAGATGCATCAAACTCTTCACTACTATCCAATAATGTATTCCAAATCGACATGGTTAATTTCATTGTGGTAAATGACATACCCTGATTGTCTGTAATCACCGAAAAACTGTTTATAACTTCACCGGTACAGCTAGAACTTCATCAAGTAGTTAAATGTGTCATTCCTCATAGGTGCTAAAATGGAAGATGTGTACGCAGTGTTCGCGTTAATTCCCTCACAATGGAGATGTATAAATATGTCCTCTCGGAATACTTCACTACTAAGAAAACAAGGATTTTAATTTTTCAATAAATTTCAACGCGCTTAAATTTACATCGTTTCATCTGATTACTTTTTTGGTACGAATATATACGTATGTGGATTGTGAGTGTGATAAAACACAGTGAATTGTCTGTGAGGACTAATACTCACCGGTGATATTCACTGCCTGTTGCACTACATAATTCGCAATTGGTACAAATTAAATTTCGAGAGCCACTGGATTTCATTACAATGTCTGAATGGCTGACGGGCTTATTTCGTAACCTGAAATTCTCGGCTTGGATCCATCATGAGATCAAGGATGAGTCCCACTACAGGGTCGAATACTAGAACGATACAGCTATCCATTCATCCCTAGTTTTGAGTGACTTTCTAACAAAAGTCAGTTCATAATCAAATCTGAAATTAATCAAATTGTTGCAAATTAAAACTTGAAAACATGCGATAATCCGTATTAATTTCTTACTTGAATGGCTTCTTCAACAGAATCATAATTACTCGTCTCCATAACACGATACATGGTAGCGAACTCCACTTGTCTTTTAATGTACATGTCCACTGGGCTACCACGAACAGTAGCAAATAAAAAATCTTTTTGAGGATTACGAAGCTGTAATAAGAAAAGTTGTGAATATATTATATAGTAAAACTCTGTCAAAAACAAAATGAGATTTCCGTAAAACTCGGAAATCAAATTTAATTTTATAGTTTTCCCGTCTGTAGATTGTTGATGACTATCAACTGATTTTTATTTGTAGTGCTCAAAAATGTTAACTATGAGAACATTATTTTTAAAAGACACAGGTCATCACCTAAAGCACTTCTTCCAGACTTCATATATGAAGTTAGATATGAAGTAAATTCAACATTTTAGCAAGTAGTACGAAGTCGTGCACATTTGTCTGTCTCTGTCTGTTTCCGACATAGAACTTTGCACATATGTGCGGTAGTTCAAGTCGCCACACTCCGTGTAGCACACAAACCAAGAGAAGAAAGTACAAGAAAAGCATAATAGAGACAGTAAGCAGAGGTGTGAGACAAAGGAAGAGTAATAACGAAGAACAAAACAGTTTCATTGGAAATCATAAGTCACGAGGAGTGGATGCATCTGCGCCAGCCATTGAGAACGATTTTGAGCCATGTCACCAATTGTTTCCAACCATTGGTTTTTACCGTCCCGAGGACCCCAGCCCGGAAGTCTACACCTTCCTACGTGACAGGCTTAGACTAACTGTTGTAGATTTCATTGACTGGTGCCAAGTTTTTGTTTGACCGCCGCTAGCTTTTTTCCAGCCTGACCCTATATCCGCTAGCATTGTTCGTCGAGGAAGACGATGACTAAGCATACGTAAAACATGTCTTAACCACCTCAGTCTTTCTAACTTCACAACTTCGTCGATTGATTTCCCCTGTTTACCTAGAACTCGACCGATGACTAACCTCAATATTGCTCACATTATTATACCACTTCACACGGGAGATAGAACGCAGGCACCTATGATCAAAGACAGCTAGTTGGCCTTTTCATGTCTTCCACTCTCAATGGCCAGGTCTCACAGCCATAAAGGAGGACGGAGCGGACTGATGAGCAGTACGCCCGCCCTCTGGTCGATAGTCGAACATATCGTCTACGCCAGAGACGACGTAAACTGGCGTATGAGAAACTAGCCCTCTGTATCCGTGCTGAGATTTCGTCAGAGATCAACCCGTTGGCACTGGCTGATGGTACTTCCCAAATAAGTGAACCGGTCAACGTGCTCTACCACTTCACTTCCTATTTCTAATCTAGGAGTCGGTATATTCCAGTCCTGTAACATAATCTTGCATTTGGCGGGAGCGAATCGCATGCCACCTAAATGTGCACGACCCGACCGAAAGCTGCTACCTTGACGTGGTGGTCGGGCTTGAACACACAATGACCCAACAAGCTATACTGGCTGAGACTTATGTCGGAAAGGTTGTTTGGATAGCGGTCAGACAAAAAGCAGCTACCCAACCGCCCACACACTTCCAAAGCACACGAAGCCTTCCTGAGCATCACTCTTCCTTACTCACATCACCTTCCTCATCTTGCTTCTCTACTACAATTAGCACTATTCTGCAGGCTAGTGAGTCATCTTCACTTCACTCCGTATCCACAAACAACAGTGAGAGCCATAGAAACACTCCCAGATAGCCTTTTAAAGCCACGTTGCCAACTACGTATAGAAGCTTTTAACGTTAGGACCCTCTGCCGAATTGGACAACAGGCATCACTAGCAAGAACTCTGGAATATAGAGCCATGGATGTATGTTGTGTTTCGGAGACACGCATATAAGACCTGAGTGTGGTCATTCACTTGACCTTACGCGGTCAACAAGGTGAATCTGCAAAATTCACTTTAAGGGTGTCAGGAAACCCCTCCGCTAGCTCGCGAGGACTCGTAGGCGTAGGGATAGCACTGAGTGTTAGGGTGGAAAAATCACTTCATGACTGGATCCCAGTAAATAGTCGTATGTGCACGGTCCGTCGGAATGGGTCCGTTAAAAGAAGGAAAACAGGGCGCTACCCGTCGTTGCCTTTTAGTAGTCTCCGCCTACGCCCCAACAGACTACAGTTCGGATGAACTAAAGGATGACTTCCACCTGAAACTGTCTAATTTGCTGCAAAAGCAAAACGTTCAGATACAGTTGTTTTAGCAGGCGACTTCAATGCCCAAGTAGGGAAGTTGTACCAGACTGAGAAGTATGTAGGTGGTACGTATGGAGTTCCTTGTCGACGAACCGACAGCGGTGATCGTCTTCTACAGTTTTGCTCAGATAATCATCTGTTTCTAGTCAGCACTAACTTTAGGCACAAAGAGAGACATTGTGTAACCTGGCGACCTCCATCACCAAATCAACGCTGAACTCATAGTCACAGGGTATCGTTGGCGAGGGTCAGTAGACGACTGTCGCTCCTTCTGGAACACGTGCGTAGACTCATCTTCCGTGAACATTTAGGTGAAAACAATATACACACTTGGGTTAGTCTGACTATTTACAAAGGTAAATTAGATAACTGATTTGCCTACAGATTGACCGATTATTCTTCTTGGGCCAGCAAACTATGATGCCGGGAATTACCTTATGCCACACCGTTATAGATATGACTCTAAAATCAATTTAGTGATACACCAGACATTATGATCAGCCCAAAACAAAAGGTTACTCACACAATATCAAATCTAAACAGTGGTTATGGCAACACTCATAGTTGTCATAGCTGAGGAATGTCTTACATCAGCCTTTAAAAGATTTCCTTTTGTTTGGTAGTCTACTTATACTAGCTAGAGAATGACCTTCCTTTAGCGGAATCAACGCAGAACAAAACTGGATTTCAAGACTGAGATTCTTGTTACTCAAAACGATCTGTCTGTCATCTAACTACTGCCTTATAAATGCGCTGACTGCGACACAGTAAAACTCATCGTCAGATGTTTGTCACTGCTTCAAATGATATCAAAATGTCAGACTTCTAGGGAATTAGGAATAAACAAAAAGGTAGAATTCATAAGTGAGTATAATGGAGTATTCGAAACCTTGCCAGAGGAATCCGTTTTGTTCTCACTTCGAGTATCTATGCTCACTGAGGATTGAACAATCTGTTAAGTGTTTCACATCCTAAGAATAATCGTTTTTATAAATTTGAAAAAGTGTTTTTGGATATATATATATATATATATATATATATATATATATGTATCAGTCTTCAACAACAACTCCCTTCTCGGGCGTGAGGCTAGCAACCCTACCCTGTAAACAAAACTGCCACAGAAACTTCACTACGATGAGCCTCTTTGCGATGAAACAATAAGTATGCGTGGGGACATGGAACGTTCGCACTATGTATGAGACTGGCAAATCTGCCCAGTTTCCAAACGAGATGAAGCGATATGGTACTGAAGTACTGGAAACGTGTGAAAACAGATGGAATGGACTGTGTTCCTCTAGGAACTAAAGGAGATAATAATAATAATAAAAACCTCAACGACAAAATAATCAATAGAAAAACAGGTGAACAGCAGGATTAGGAACATCCCGGAGACTCATCACATATAACTAATGATGAATATTCACAATTAGACATGTTTTTCTTTCATTTTTACAGAATACAAGTATCGGAAATCAAGCATTATACAGCTTTTTTTCTCCATTGTTATTATTATCATCCATCCACAGGCAGGATAGATAAAATTCTTAGAGGTGGTTTGAATGAATCACATTTGATCATTAAATATATATTGTATTTATTGTAATTACACTTAGTGGAATAAATAGCTAATATTTAAAAGAAAGCCTATTTCCATCCATTTTTTCTTTAAAAAAAGTCCATTAGGCAACATGAGTCATCTGAAATAAAAGATTTGTTAAGTGAAGTGTAATATTTTATGGATGCTTTTGTACTAGGCCATTTATTCTTTTCCCCTAATTTTTGGAGTTATGCATGACAAAGTGTGAGGCACAGTCCATCTAACGTACGCACAAACACACGCACACACCAACACGTTTAAATACTAAAATCGTGTCCACCACTTCTTTTCATTTATGAAGACGGACAATAAATCATCTAGATATTTAGGCGAGAAGGTATCAAATATTGAGTGTTTGTTGTGTAGTTTTTTGCCTAGTTTAAAACATATTGAATACGTATATCTAGTGAAACTGTAAAATGCATTTTTCTAAGTGAACAGTTGAATAGTTTTCACTGCTGGTGTATGATGCAGCACTTTCAGATTTAAAAATGACAGCATTTGTTTTTATTTGAAGAAAACCAAAATAAAGTTGTGCATTTGATAATCAGTTTTAACAGATTACTCTTTAATGACGCTTATTTGACATGTATGCCAGTATTACACCGAATATATATATATATATATATATATATATATATATATATATATATTGTAGCAAGATGCAGCCAGACGGTACTGCTACGATTTAATTCATTGACAAACTATCTGGATTTAAGCAGATACGATAATGACTAAAGTGATATACTTTTAAGACTTGCAGCGGTTGGTTATTCCTCATAACAATTAGCCACAGCAATCATCACTGAACATTGGATGATGACCTTCCTTGTTTGAGTCGATTTGTTTAACTGAAGGCTTCCGGTCGAGCACCTACGCCATTCGGGATGCCATCGTGTAACATTCGTTCGTGCCTGCACGATCCCTAGCTAGTTAAGCAATCACCTCGTACTCTGATATCGTCCCGAAATATAATTCATAATATGTCCAGGCAGTTCAAGTGTTTTGCTTTGCCTCTGATCTACGCGGAACCAATACTATATAAGTTGCGGACATTAGATTTTGCGTTAGTATCCTTCTTACTATCCATGAACGTCAACTCTCTTAGCCTATAAAGACTTCTTATCTCACCATTATGTTTTCATAGTGAGTTGTTGTGTTGCTCTATTTGACCGAACTAGCGTACATGTATATCCTAGTACTTCGCATTTGTTATTGTGGCCTAACATTGTCATTACTCGACATCCACAAAGTAAATCAAAAGGCACTTGAGAAGATGTAAGAACGTATATTCTCCCAGTAATCAAAATTTAAAAGTTGGGCGAGTACAATGTTTCAGTTGTTATCACACAATCTTTACAGTGATAAACAAGTCAAAGTCCAGTCACATAGTGAAAGTATCCTATGATGATGAATAATCAAATGGGTCACTACAGAGTTACAGGATTTTATTATTAGCTGACATCAGTTAGACAACCACTAGAAAACCGGGGAATACTGGGCGGCTGTTTCGTCCTAGTTCGGGATTATTCAGAGTACGCACTCACTGGGGTTCGAGTCCAGGACCTCTCGGTCACACTTTGAGCTCGTAGACTATTATGCTACTGAGCCTGATCCCACTGCCCATCAATTCCAAGTTCTACCTTTTTATCAGGAGTCTGAGGAAATCAATTTCCCCGCACTACCAGTTCTGTTTTACCAAGTAAAATTCAAACCATTCTCTTGCTTTTCTAACACTTTAGACTTTGCTCTATATTTTGGAAAGATTTATCCAAGAATTAGGCCTTACTCTAGTCCTGAAGACAAACTCTGACCATCAAGTCATATGCAAAAAGTTTCAGTGCATATAACAGGTGCAGCTATGATATTTGTTTGTTTAATTTTATAAGGTAATTCTGATTCTATTTTCTGTTTCCTTCAAAAGAAAGGTACTTAATGAATGCATTTTTCTTTACCAAATGAATTTCCTTTCGTTAACATACTAAGTTGGTACCTTGTAATGTTCATTGTGAGTAGTTGAAGAACCTTGACAATAATAACACTGAACAATCAATAAATCAGTAAAATCACAACTACGCTATCTCATTTTCTGACTTTGTAGGCTAAATGACTTAAATAAGTGTGAATTATTATTTTTTACGATTTGATCACGGATTGATATTAGTTTGAGAAACATTGAGAACCAGGGATTATTGGACAGCTGTTACATCCCAGTTTGGGAACCATCAACAGTACTGACCCACTGGAGTTCGAACCCAGGACCTTCCGGTGACAAGTCAGGCTTGCATACCATTCAGCCAGTGGGAGCCGATTTAACGGCCAGTGCATGAATTCTAACTTCCACCGATTCGTGATTTAGTGCGACCACCAACCAATATCGTCGGTAGGACATCGATCTTCACACTTGACTGGATGGACCCCACTGGTCACGACTTCTCACTAGAACTCCAGGAAACTCCATCCTGTAGCAAATGGCTACCGAGCATCAGATTAATTTTCTATATTTGGTTTGTAAGGAATAGTTTTTTTTTTCAATGGTTCTCTAACTGATATAAATCCGTCATCAATTTGTAAAAATAAACAAATTTATTCCCTACAAACCAACTATGGTGAATTATTTTCTTAGAAATCTACTTCAAGTGCAGTCGTTCGGATTGAAATTGTCTAACTATATATATATATATATATATAACTGATATTATCAACTCCTTGTTTCAAAATGTTTGCAGCCACCTTCGATTTTAAATTTTATTATAATTTTAATATGTATCTAACTTTAACAGTGTAAAGAAAACAATTTTATTGACTTGTTTACTTTGTATGCGATTTTCTATAGTTCATACGACTTGACCCGAGCGAAATTCAGGTTACTCCATTTCCCTTATATATTGAACCATATTTGTTAAAAAAAAGGTTTATAATGTCATTCTTTTTTTGATATAAACGCCCCACTCAAGCTGTACATTTTTAGCCACGCATTCATAAACTGATTCACTGAAACAACAAAAACCGTGCATGGATTAGAGATCTTGAGGAGTTCTAGATGCAAGTGAAGTCTGCAGAATGCTCCCACCATACGCTAGGACTGATAATATGTTGCTTTGGTGAAGAAAAACATTCATGCAAGTAATTATCTCCAGAATACAGATAAAAAGGAGTCCACTAACGAGGTTTTCTGCAGAAGTGAATAAGTAGGCAGGCATTTTATTTGATTACAAAACGTTTGTTATCAGGTTATTTTTCCAAATCCAAGTGATTGATTATGTTTGATCGAAATGCTCGGTCTCAATTTATATGTCGACTCCTGGTACGGACGTTTCGACGATGTCCAAGGATTAACTTCAAGTTATTTTGAATAGTGGTTGCTAGCAGCGGAATTCAGAATGCACATTTAATCTTGCTTACGGCTTAGCTGGATACACCTGCATTCCTAGAAAGTGAGCGTTTCTGTCCAGCATAACCAGTCAACGGAAAATGCGAGACTGATCCCCTGCACAAGAGGTGACTCTTGACGCTTAGTGCCTAATGCTTTGGCTTTTGAAACGATGGGTCCAGGATTTGAGTCTCAATGGGAACACTCATCCCCTATTAGAGATGCAGGTACATCCAGCTGACTAGTTCGTAGTAGGATCAAGTGTATATCCTATATTCCATTGCTAGTCACCACCAACCATACTAACAAACTCTATTGTTTGTTATAGGTTTCGTTTATTACTAATATTGCAAAGTTGTAAATGTATCTTTGAATGTAGCACCCTACAAAGTTATTATCCCTGTCAATAATATATGAACACAAGCAGGATTAGTTCGATAACAATAAGTATGCTAAGTAATAATAATAACGATATATACGTATGAAATAGATAGTTACCTATGCACTGACCACTATACTTTCATACTATGAAGATAAATGCACAGATTACACAGAAAATGTATAATTCATCTACACCTACTGTGTAAGCTAAAGGTGCTGTGACAGCGAAACAACCTGCATATAAATAGACATAAATATACCTACAAACCAAGTCATAGATTTAAGGCTTCCTTCTATTTTATGAAATGAAGAATAGTTGTAAAAATGATTCTTTATCCAGTTCATTGTTGAAAAGCTAGAATAATTCACTAAACTGAAGGTGGTTCGAGGAAAAAAGAAGTTTAAGTGATAACAGCAGGGGTAAATCAATATATAGAATTCCGAGCCAATCTACTCCTGAATGTAACCAACCTGTCAATTTCATATTTTACATAAGAGGAGGTAGACATAACTGCAAGAATCGTTTTAAAAAGTGAACGTTTAAGGTGTAGGGAACAGTAGTCCATTAGAAACTCCACGAGTACTGATTACAGATATGATGTGAAACATTATGTAGACATCACACAGACTAACAGATAAATGTTTTTCATTATCATTCGCCTGATACGGATTACTGTGTGAAATCAGGTAGAAACAGGTAGTTTTGTTCCTAACCTAAAAAAATGTTTAGACACAACTTTTGTCAGTTTGTAGTAACTTCAAAAGATAATATAGTTCTTCCCTTAGTAGAATTATCCATTGTCATGCTGGTAAGCATAAGCACAGCTCTTTCTTTGGACACTAATAACTAGTGTGATGTGTCTAGTCCTTTCTTTAGTGCAGACTGAATTCTATCAGTCAGGTTTGCAATGTGGACACCATTCTAGGTAGCTCGCTAGCCATCACGGTGCACATTGATTTGATGATATTAGATAGTTCCTTCAAGGTTGCAGATACGCCTTGCTAACAAATGCCAACTAGCACGAAACCTAGGTCCAAGGCTTCCTGCCGACTGCCTCTAACCATCTAATGAGCACAATTCTTTTTATGTTCTTTTTTTGAATAGTGAAAACACCCATCAGTGAAAACGGTAAGAAAATGATGTGCACAATTGACTGTAACCATAATTATTACTTGACTAACAGATAAGGAAATCAACTACACAGCCAACACTTCAGAATCAAATGACTCATCATTTCCTATTTCTATTAATTTATAGCATACTGTGATAGTTACCGATGAGTGTTTCCCCCAACATTTGAGCCCGAAGCTCCAACTCAAACCTGATAGCTGATAAGCACTGGACTCATATTTGGCTGCGAGATCCATGAGTACTTGATTGCCTTTTTTAGTGAAATTAGTCCAACCATAAAGAATATCATGCCATGTGGTGAGAATGTTTACTTCAATAAATTCACTGAAATATTGAAAGGACTCAGAATAATCAATACAAAGGAACCATTCATTGTTTTAAACGTTTCAAGTGCATCAAAGTTTGCCATGCAATCAACTGAATCCTAAAGAAATCTGAACTCGAAAATAGGAATCACACATCTTATTTTCTTATCCAGGTCAATGATTTGCCTGATGTGAAAGTGTTTCTATTAGTAGTAAATGGATATAGATTGAGAGAAAAAATAATATACACAGTCACTGATTTCAATTTTCATAATGTGCAACAGCGTTTGCCTGCCTGGTTAAGAGAATGAGATCAAGGAATAAGGCCTTCTACAAATAGCTTGGAGCTAAGGTTGCATTGATGAAACGTGAATCTTCAGGCAAACTGAATAAAGAGAATTTTGAACAGACTGGAGCACACATCCTTGAAACTCAGTCTAGCGACAAAATATATATATATATATATATATATTACAGGAAGTAAAAATTCTGACTGTGACATTGTAAGCAAGACACCACGTGCAGCTACGTTTCCAATATTGGATTCAACTGGATTGATACTTTAGACAAAAGCTGTCGATACTTTGTTGTCAATTTAAATCATGAAGTTATTTTGAGCCACTTACTGGTCTATGCAGGTTTGAAAGAAAGAACAATCCTGAAACCGTTCACAAACGTGAAAATTAAAATTATTCAGAATATACTGAAATTTTTAAAATATGGTTCTGATGATAAATTCACTTACTCGAACATCATCGATTCCAGATATTAATGCTTCAGGTCTGTCCAAAACAAGGAAAGCAGCCAAGTTTGCAGTATAACTGGCCACGATGATCATAGCAAATCCAGCCCAAACCATACCCAGAACACGAGCACTAAAAGATCGTGGAGTGCCTTCACCTATTCCCGAATTTAAAAGAACTCCCCAAGCAAAATAAACAGCACCGCTAAGATTTATGCCTTCGTCTTTCCGTGAATTGTTTGCATGTGAATTTAACAAAACTAGCGAGTTACTATCGGATGCTTGCTTTTTCGATGTCAGTTGTTGCAGAGTTAAATAGGTGTTATTATCATTCTCTGATGGTTTTAACTTTGTATTGAGGCGACCGAATGGGGAAAATCGATCCAATAAATACAGTACAAAAGCTACAACATGTACAGACAAAGCCACCAGAACCCACAGTGAACTTTCGAAAGGCTGTAGAAACGAACCGAGATTCGATTTGGCTCTTTCCTATGAAAACAGAAAAATGTAAGTGTATATTTTAAGGTGCATCATATATTCGGATGAATCAAGAGAAAATTTCGTTTTTAAATGATAATCTGTAACATGAAAGTTGATCGACATTTTCTGATGCTTAGTACTGCATCAAGCTTACATGATAAAACTTAGTTTTGGGATCGCAGCAACAAAATGGATGAATCTGACTCTTCACTGACAAATGATTTTTTCCACTGTTCTTTTGAAATCACATCACTTTAAACATTTTCTTACCAAAAAGGATATTTCCGGATGAATAAGAGTGAAGAATAAATCAGTACTTACTACTGCATTGTCAGTGAACGTATTCCTGTGTGGGGAAAGTCTGCAACTGTCTTGTGACCTGACTTCATTTCCCCTATTTTGTGCAGTGGCCTTTTTAAAAACCACTAAAATATTATTTTTATTTCACACCAATAAGCAGATACCTTCGACTGTGTTCAGTAAACATTACTGAACACAGTATCATTAGTATCATTGAAGCCTCAGAAACATTCCTGATACACAGTAAAATAATCAAACCAGTGTTTCTAGTGATTTCTTTTTAACAGTAACATTTTACCTGAGTGTGTTATCAGGCGATCGCTTTCATGTCAACATATTTTGTGATTTATCGCGAAGTGTGATACAGTTGCCGTCGTATTGTCAAATTTTGTTCCAAGTCATTAGTGTAGATTCAGTTAACCAAGAATTTTAAATGCTTCCTGCTGCAGGCTATTGTTGAAACCTGTCACCTTACTCAACAGTATTCCAGGCACTACTGATGATGCAGCAGTCTGTGACACCGAATTAATCCTAGTAAATGCTTGTCCGCAGTTCAATGGTAAAATGCTTGCGATCCACACGAGATGTTCAGTTTTGATTCCCAGTCGAAGCACTCCTAAGCCTCGCTAATCCAGCAGTTAGTCAAGAGAAACAGGGAAGGCTAGGCGTAAGGCATGTTGTAGTCCTATCCCGTAGAAACAACACTGCTAATAAAAATTCAAAAGCTTGTAGCTTTATAGTGAGCTTGGAACTCAAAGGACCAAAAAAGTCTAGATTTTGTAGACAGTTAGAAGAAATTAGTAACAACTTGTTCTTGTTTCCAGAGATTTCTGATAAATATACATTCAAAAGAATGATTACTAAACAAAGAATATTCTTTTCGATATCTTTATGATCAGGTTATACTGTTTATATATATATATATATATATATATAATACCGAATGAATTAGTACTATTAACAACAACCACACGCACACCGAGGGCGTGGCTATCATGATGTCACCAACGGCAACGAAAGCCCTGATACAATGGGAGGCGATTTCGTCCAGGATAATGACCGCCAGGTTCAACTCCAAAGGAAGGAAAGTGTCAATCATACAATGTTATGCACCCACAAACAACGCAGACCTCGAGAAGAAAGAAGAATTCTACAGGCAACTACAGGCAACAATGGACAATACTCCAGCTGGCGACATGAAAATACTAATGGGAGACATGAACGCCAAACTGGGACCAGACAATACGGGAAGGGAACTCATCATGGGTAGAGAAGCTCTAGGAGAAATGAATGAAAACGGAGAACTCTTCGCCGACTTCTGCGCCTTCAACGAACTGGTGATTGGTGGCAGTGTATACAAGCACAAAGATATCCACAAGGCTACATGGGTGTCACCAGACGGGCAAACCAAAAACCAAATCGACTTCATCTCAATCTCAAGGAAGTGGAGGCGCAGCCTACTGGACACAAAAGCAAGAAGAGGAGCAGACGTTGGCTCAGACCACTATCTCGTACAAGGGACAATCCAAATCAAATTAAAAGCTTTCAGAGAATCAGGAGCTGCAGATAGACCACAAGCCAAGTTCAACACTCAAAAGCTGAAGGACCAGGCTACAAAGGACATCTTCATTGCAAGCATAAAGGACAAAGCCGAGACACAAATCAACACTAGCGAAGAGGTCGGCGTTGAAAAGCACTGGAACAACTTGAAAACGGTGTGGAGCCAAACCTGCATAGAAATTCTAGGCAGAAAAAAGAGACAGGACAAACAGTGGCTCACTACGGACACTTGGAAACTAATAGAAGAGAGAAGGACAGTGAAGCAAAAGATTATCCAGTGCACCGACGAGCAACAAAAACAGGAGCTGAATGCAAGCTACAATACACTGAACAAAAGAGTGAAGAAAAGTGCCAGGGAAGACAAAAGAAAATATTATGAAACCATGGCAAACGAAGCAGAACAAGCTGCAGGCAAAGGAGACCTCGCCACACTCTACCAAACAACTAGGAACCTTTCGGGCAAACGTTCGACACAGATTAAGCCAATAAAGGACGACAATGGAAAGTCAATCACCAAAGAGGTGGAACAGAGAAAGCACTGGGTTGAACACTTCAAAAGACTTCTAAATCGTCCGCCACCTACAACACGTCCAGCAATACCAACAACGGAAGCAGAACTACCAGTGAACACTGACCCCCCGACGAAATCAGAAGTCCTGAATGCAATCAAGATGCTTAAAACTGGGAAAACACCGGGACCAGATGGAATCCCAGCAGAGGCTTTGAAAATAGACCCAGAGACAACAGCGGACTTGATGACACCACTACTGGAGAAGGTGTGGAAAGAGGGCAAAGTACCCGAGGATTGGAAGAACAGTTACTTATTCAAACTTCCAAAGAAAGGAGACTTAAGTCAATGTAAAAACTGGCGTGGAATTATGCTTCTGTCCATTCCAAGCAAGATACTAAGTCGCATCATCCTGGAGAGAATCAAACAAGCCCTAGATGAAAAACTTCGTCCGGAACAGGCTGGATTCAGGAGAAACAAATCATGTATTGATCAAATCGCCACTCTACGGATCATCATTGAACAAAGCTTGGAATGGCAGTCACCTCTCTATCTCAACTTCATCGACTTTGAAAAGGCCTTCGACAGCGTCGATCGAGAGGTCATTTGGAAACTACTTCGCTACTACGGGGTCCCATCGACAATTATACACCTCATCCAACAGTTATACGACAATGCTGCATGCCAAGTAATCCACAACGGGAAACTTACGGAAGCCTTCGAAGTGAGGACGGGAGTGAGGCAAGGCTGTCTACTATCACCAATGATCTTCCTGATTGCAATTGATTGGATAATGCGACAGACAACGGCAACCAACGAGGGAACAGGCATAAAATGGACTGACACAAAAGACTTGGAGGATCTGGATTTCGCCGATGATATATGTCTGATTTCCCATAAACTGGAAGATATGCAAATGAAAAGTAACAAGTTGGCAGAAGAAGCATCAAAGATAGGACTTCACGTGAACATAGATAAAACAGAGATGATGAAGATTCCTTGCCAACATCAACAGCAACAACAGACCACAATAAGCATAAATGGGAAGAACCTGAAAGAAACAACCTCCTTCACCTACCTGGGAAGCATCGTCTCAACTACAGGCGGAACTGACGAGGACATCAAAGCCAGAATCGGAAAAGCAAGACAAGCTTTCATTACTCTCAAATCTGTGTGGAGGTCAACAGCATTCAGCATCAAAAATAAGATCCGGATTTTCAACTCCAATGTGAAGTCAGTGCTACTATACGGATCAGAGACTTGGCGAGTCATAAAGAGCATCTCAAACAAACTTCAAACCTTCATTAACAACTGTCTCCGCTCAATACTCAAGATCAGATGGCCAGAAAAGATCAGCAACAGGGATCTCTGGGAGCGAACCAATCAGGAACCGATTGTGAAACAAATAGGCAGAAAGAAATGGAGATGGATTGGCCATACGCTGAGGAAACCATCAAGTGACATCACTAGACAAGCCCTCGAGTGGAACCCGAAAGGGAGGCGGCGAGTTGGTCGTCCAAGGGTGACTTGGAGGAGGTCATGTGAAGAGGAGATGAAAGCATGTGGACAGACCTGGAGCAGGGTGAAAAAGTTGTCAAAAAACCGAAGTCAATGGAGGTGCGCAGCTGAAGCCCTATGTTCCTCTAGGAACTAAAGGATACAATAATAATATAATAATAATGTTTAATATAGCGAAATTTCTGATTAATTTACTATTATGTATATATAACTGTAGAACCTGATTATGAAGATATCGGAAAGAATACTCCTTTGTTCATTAACCATTCTTCTGAAAAATTTCAATGGGTATTTTTAATTAGTTAAAGCACATACTCTCTAAGATTTGATGCACTACCTGTTTAAACACGTCAACATGATGCAGTGTGATTAAGTTTTTTTCTTCAGTCGCGATAATGACTTCTTGTAATCACTTGATAAATATAAACGCCTTTCTACTTTGCATTTGAAAACACGACACAAACTATGATTTTCATCTCCTACAACATTTTTCAGCCCAGTCAATAAGTTACTCAATGTACTGCCCTTCTTTACTTAGGAGATACTGGAAGTGGCTATGTGTGAAGGTATCTGTAGTCTACCATTTCACTAGATAGTATTTCCTCATAAATGGAACGCTATTTAGCAATTATTTAAAAAGACATCAAATGTGAGACAAAGTTAAACTACTCATCTTACTAAACGCTATTAATCAACTATAAATTATGAGATGAGATTTCATTTTATTTACGGTACTATCTGACTCATTGCCTACAGAACATTCAGTTGCCATGTTCAGTGTTTTATTGTACAAACTATCAAATGTCTAAATTAAATTACAACAATTTTCTAATGAAGTGTATATGAATTATATCAAATTGTATTTTTTTTCTTACCTTCACGTTCCCAGTGGAACATAGGGCTTCAAGCTAGTGTCTTGAAGTTTCTGTAGCAGTGTTTATTGTTTTACAGGATGGGGTTGCTAGCCTCATGTCCAACCTTTCCTCTTTACCTACATTATTTCTGGCTTAGCGAGGTAAAGGAGTGTGTCGGCCGGGGATCGAACCCCGGACCATATGCATGGTCAGCGAGCGTCCGATGCACCAACGCACCCCCCCCCAATTAACTTTATAGCATATTTTAA